TTTTTAATAGTTTTCTGACCAAATCGTATACGTTCTTTCAGAATCTGTGATCAAAAACGAATTTTGAAATTGAGGAGGTGGAAAGTATGTCAGAAAAACGCGGTTTTCTCACGGACTGTCTCTTAACTGCTCTTCTCCAATCTGTTTAGTTTCCCTGTACGCATAGACTTCAAATAAAATCCCATTTTTAGTGTTGGATACAAATGGTTAGGAATATTAATTTATACCTGAACATGGCAATTATAAGCAAGAACAAAAGTGCAGCTACTCAAAACCCCTTCAAACTATTTCTGAAACATTCATATTTTGCTTGTACATGTATTGACTTTGTTAAGCGAACGCACTCGGACCAGCACCTCTGTGAAGGATTAAAATATATTGTCTGTTCAGCAGAAAAAAGGTGCGAATTCAATAGTAAATGTTTCGAAGATAAAGAACGCACACCGGGCACCATCTTTATTGGCATGAGGCTCGATCTAAATCGATAAAGTAGTCGAACATCGATGAGAACACATTAAAACAAGCACCTATCGTTGTTGTTTGTGTCAGTTAACTGGCAGTTATCCTTCAGACAAAAAAGTCAGCAGCCGCAGTCAACTATCAAAACTTTTGCTCAACCCTTTCCTCCACTCATCTCTTTTTCTCTCTTCTTTCTATTCACTCGTTCTTTTAAAGTGTTATTACGGGGAACTCGATTGTGTGTTTGCACAGCAACAACATACACACTTAAGCAGAAGCCAAAAACGTTTTGTGTCTTTGGAAGCGCGCACAGTAGGCAACCATGTGGACATTAGGTGGAAAAACGGCAGTGGACTTTCGACAAATCCAAATAGAAGAACATGTACATTGGCAAACACTCTATCGTTTGCAAAGTGGTTACCAAAGAGAGGACCTCAGTATAGTCCGTCCGCTTCCGATTTTTTCCGGAGCTCCAAATGCAATAAATTTTTTACAGAAAATGCGTTTACTAACAATATATCCATGTTGTTAGCCCAAATTAACCCAAATGCTCCTGAGCTGAGTTATAGGTTTTCCAGAAAACCATAGGTTTCTGACATAAATTCGAGTTTTCCCTTTTAGGAAGCAAGTGTATTGAAAAATGACGACATATTTGGAATCAGCGCAAAAATTTGCGTCGAATGATGTGTGATTGATTTTAGGAAACTTTAATAGATAGATCACTTTAGGTCCGGTGCTATCGTCCACAATGATGTTAAACTAGGTTCAAGAAAGGTTGTTGATGGTTATGGAAGTCTTCTAACTTCACCCTTTGAATATTCGTAAACTGTTTAGTCATTGTAACAAAGTTTTTATTGTTGACCTACGGTGTAGCTTAGATCTGTACATAACTATATTATGTATAAAAATACAAGAGGTAAACGTCAACGAATGCTAAAATTGTGTCTCGATCACGGTATTGACCCGTGTCAAAAGGAGAAAATTAACGGTATACTGTTCTTCATGAAGTAATTACCCGACAACAAATCGATTCAGTTCAGCTTCTTCTTGCCTATGTTGGTGGCGAGATCGATTGGTGTTCGTTCGATGCATGTGGTCCAACGGTTCTTCATCAAGCTGTCGAATTGAACAGTATACCAATTCTCGAAGCATTTGTAACTGTTATGCATCATTACGCTGTTTCTGTCGATATTCCACATATGACTGGTCTTACATCATTTCTTGTTGCAACTAAACTTCTTCCCCGTGAAATGGTTTAAATACTCGTACGAAGGGTCATGTCAGCCAACGGTCTGGAAGTTGCCATTCATTGGTATTGAAGACCATTGAATAATGGTTCGCGATTGACTTCGACGTGAACTTGATGAGGCCATGAAAGCGGGTAAAATAAATAAGACCAAAAAACTTAAAACAGTCTACTATGTTCATTGGTTATTGATACTATCGAATTCGCAATTTCGCCGTGATTCGATCATTTCATCGACCACAACGTCAATGGCACATAATTTATCGGCGGAAGGTGATATTCTCGAATGATTTGTCGCCAGCGAAGTATGCGATCAGACATTTCATTCAGAACGCATCGCCCCTCGACCACCGGCGTCTATCTCACGACAACAACGCTCGAATTTGTCGTTCATCGCTCTAGTCGAACTGTTTCAGATAGCTCGGCAATCGACATGACGGTTCAATTTGTTTGTTTTTGTGTGACAGTCTCTTCTCGTCTTATATGAAGCAAAGATACGAGACCTTTTTTAAATATTCTGATTTCCTTACCGGAACTTCATATTCTGATTCTTACTGGATATTCAAAATTCCAGTAAGCAGTAGTCAACGGTCCAGAGGTTGTCGTAACCATTGTCGCTGGTGGCGAACCTGCGCTTTCAGAAAACCAGCTGGTACAGTATTTAGGCTATTCTATATTGCTATAGATGATAAATCTACGAAACCCTGTGATTTCTCGAAAAGGCCTCTGAAAAACCGTTAAGCAGAAACATGGCTCTACAGATAAGCCGCGACCAACCGTGCTCAATCGACTTTCTCCCAACTTCACTTCAATTAAAAAGGTCAAAAGTACAATCAATAGTAAGTCTTTTGCTGTAAATCGCAGCTCTACAACCCAAGTAGTTATTGAGATATTCAAATTTTAAGAAAGGTTGCCATTTTTTTGGTGGTAAATTAGGATCAATTAGCGTTTAATCTTGAGTGTGTTATTTCCAACGGCTTGACTTAGAGAAACGAAAATTTCAGCACAAATACAACTTAGATCAGGCTAGAAAACGGTCCGGTCAGCGCAAGTCCGGACTCTAGAGGTCGTTCTATTATCAAGTTATAGATGGCGCTACCGTCACCAAGTTACCATTCATTATCTCGTACGTAGCTAGCTCAGTAAGGCTCAACCTTTTATGGTAGATACTCGAAGAGTGAAGTGATAGAACGGCAAAAGAAAACTTCGGATTTCCAAGAGCAACGCGAGATACTGAATTTTTAGTGAAATTTCGGCATCGACGGATAGACTCACTTCATACAAAATCCACCCCCATTTGCACCGACCTTTTACGTCAGTGATGAGAACTATCTCATATTATAGAGCTCAGCAAACTGAACCGAATGATGAAAACCACAAATCTGTAGCCTTATTAGAAAAAAGTTATAGCTATTTTACCCTCGCAGTGAAAAAATGGATCTTCTTCATTTTCCGGCGGCTTTGGCCGAACTACTGAAACGTCTGCAGGCCACATTACCTAACGTAGAATCTTGAACTTGGTATCAAATAGAAGAGCGTGTCAAATTCTATACATTTCCATGAAGAAACGTTATGCTGCACCTTGGGGTCTTGAGATAGAGACTTCTGAAAAATCCGATTTTCTAGAAAACCTAGTAATCTTAAAATTTCTTTCGGAGTGTTTCAACCATATCATTGGATAGCCCCTCCAATTCTCCACAAAATGAGATGTTGGCCAAGTTTCTACAACGTTGTGTCAAAAATAGATAATACGATACAGCTTGAAAACGACAATAAAGCGAATGAATTTATATAATGTGTATATTTACGTAATGTGAAAAAGCCTGTAAGTGTCCCAAGATCCTAGAAACTTGGCTGACATCTCATTTTGTGGAGTGCATTGTACGCGTATGCAGCGTGTCAACTGGACATTAGAGCCCATGCTGGCTACTTTTGCCGAACATGATAAAGAATCTTGGGATACACGGTTGTCGCAGCTAACACTGGTCATCAGAACAGCTATAAATCAATCGACGGGACAAAGTTTAGCATTTTTAATGTACGGGCGAGAACTGAAACTACCACTTGATCTCATGTAGGGTCTCGAAGCGAATGTTCTTGATGAGTTAAAATCATCTGCGAAAGTCAGAGCCTACACAAAATATTCAGTCATTAGTAGCATTATCATTTTTACCAACAAGTGATGTTATTTCAGCATTCGAACAATTGAAACAACAACTTCCAGCACAAGAAGCAATTATTAATTATTACGAAGAAACATATGTCGGTATAAAAAGTCGTTTCTCTCGTCCACGTAAACAGCCAAAATTTGAATTAGATTTATGAAATACACATAAAAATGCAATTTAAGGACGAATCAGTTACCAGCATTATTCAATTGTAAACATCCAACAAATTTTTGGAAATTTCTCAAAAATTTGAAAAAAAGAACAAAGTTATGTTGAAGCTGGATTGATTCAAGATGAAGTGGATTACGATACCCAATGAAAAAGACAAAGCTATGACAAGAACAACGTATATTAAATATTTCAAATGGTAAAACAATAACAAATTTAGAAAAAGTATTAGCGATAGCTCAAAATGTTACATTAATCATAATTAGATTATTGTTCATAATATTGACATCTTTTCAAAATAGTTAACATCGAAAGATGTGTAAATGACTGGAATGTACATTTTGTAAATGATTTAAAGCTTTTTTCAAAGTATAGATATAGTTGATACCTACATGTTATTCGGAATTGATTATTATTGTATCATGACTTATTGGGATAGCCAGTAGATTTTATTTACGTTTACGAATATGAAGAACCGTACGCTTTAAATTACGTAAATCTGGTAGTGAACTAATAGCTTGTGTTGATAACTGAGCTATGCTGCTATTGCTTGTATTACTTCACCGTCAACTGAACTTGGCTCATGAGTATATTCTCCAACTTCATTGACAACTGTATTATTGATTGTATGTAGACGTCCACGACATTGACTATGACGATTATGACGACGTGCCCATATTGTTTTTTGTCTAGATCTTTTGCTAATAATATACGTATAACCATTGTGCATAAAAACTAGTTTAGCTTTATTTGTTTCCATTAATACTAAACGTATGTATGTAAAATAATGTTGATGACATAGGTAATAAGTTAAGAAGGCTTTTTCCGAACTGAGATCACTTTTTTGCACTCACTTTCACTCTCTGCTTCCTGCCCTCTTATGTGTTTTTGATGTCAACTAAGACCTAAAGATAATTAAGACATTTTTTCAAAAAAGTGGTCGCAATTCGGAAGCCTCGGTTAGGAATATATAGATAGAAAAAGAAAATTGTTTATTTAGATTAAAAAGATTTAATGTTTAAGCCTAAGGCCATTATATGAACAGGATTAGAGAACAATCGAAAAGAAAAGAAAAGAAAAGTACAATACAGAAATGAAAAAACTGTTATGACTTCGATAAAAGATATTAGAAAAGAAAAAACAGTCTTATGTATTTTGTTTCTGAATGAACTTTCGTTTTTGGCTCATCACTAATTATTTATTGTAATTATACATTATTCTTTCAAGCATCTACCTACATGTAATCGAAAAGAATTGGAAGTTCTCAGAATTATCACTCTTGTGGAACATTTACCATGCCCTAAGGAGCATTTGTCGTATGAAAGCCAGATTCCGGGGAGCAACTGTCTGGGAAGCATGAGTCAGAGATTCATGTAGCTTATGAATCTTTTTTGAGAAGATCAACTGATCCTAATGAAAAATAATTTTAAAAAAAATAGTTTTCTTAAGCCTGAGACAAAACTTTTGTAACGACTGTCCATAAACTTCGTTGAATACCAGATCATTATAGACTTCGATAGCAGGCACGTTGGACTATTTGATGGTAGCTTAGCGTAGTTCAATATCAATCGCTTTACAAAAATATTTATGTGTCTGCTAGAATGGAGTATTTCCGACTACTCGACTAGAATAAAGTATTAACTTACTGAAAGATCTTGAGTATGTAGGTGAATTCATTACTCTACCGTGTAAAATCGATTATTTGTGATAAAATATGCACCATCTTAATATCCACAAATAAACGATACTAATAATTCAAATATCTTTATTTATTTGAAAATAATGTAATCGATGGAGACTACAACACTTGTTTGTTGTTTGACACATATGCTAAGTATCTAGCGATGAAATTCGCACAAAATCACCAGAATGATACGTTGCAATAACAAACTTCCAAGGTAACGGACAGTGATTGATATCAACAGGTATTACGAATTTTTTTTTCGTGCGCTTGTTTGAAAAGCAAATGTTCTTCTTGTTACAATCAAACACTAAGTTTAGTACATCATTTTCACAAACATCACCATTCCATCCATTAAAACCAGTATTATTCCCGGCACCCATCAAAACCACATATTTCTCTCGTGCTCCACTACCAATCCAACCGTATGCAGATGGTGAATAAGATGCATTTTGTCTTATTTCTGTTGCCAACGAATTAATTCCAAAAAACATCCAACTATTATCTTTCATTTTTTCGACTTTTATAGATATTTGATGAATGTCATCTGAGTAAATGTTCGAGCCATAAACACTCGAACTAATCCTGTCCCCTCCACAGTGAACAGCCATCAAACCATCTTCTTTTATTTCCATGGGACCTTGCAATGAATCAAATGTTTCTCGTGTTTGAACTTTGATCATATTAATTTTACAGAAAGCATCATCGTGTATTTGGATATCAGTCACTTTGTGCATTTTATCTTTTGTTTCATTTAATTGTTGAGTCCATTTATTAAGGTCGGTTTCAAGATAGTCTTCTGTTTCTCGTCGCAAAGTAATTTCATCTGCTATTTCATTAAGTCGTTTTACTAAGATGAGAGTGTTACCATGAAGTAGTTGTTGAATTTCATTTCGTACTTTTTCGGCTACAGCTTTTATTCTATTGATCGCTCCTTGTTCCCATTCATCAATTTGTTTTTTTAATTTATCATCGTTCATATGCAATTGCTTTAATTGTTGCTGCGTGGCATTGTGTTCAAAAGCGATGTTTTCCAATTCTCTACCTAATTCTTGATGATGTTCATTTGAGTGTTTTCGACAAAATATTCGTTGACATCCTTGACACATTAAAATACCAATACCTTTGCTGCATGATGTATTAGAACACGGATTATAGTTAGATGACGATGCCATTTATATAATTTAGATGAAGCCGTGTTGTGTAAGCAGATACATTTTAAGTTCGTAAATAAATGTAATTTGTCACTCCAGAACGTGCACAAGTAAAGTTTATGTGAAGAAGAGCGAATATGCTTCACCTCGTGTTTCAACGAGTTATGACAACAACTCCTTGCTTTTTTCTCTCCTTTTACCTCTACTTCTTCTGTTGAGTATGAAACGTTCTTATGCAAATATCGTAAGAAAAGAAAAGAATGTTTAAAAACATCTGCGATTAGAAAAAGTTTTACAAAATACTTGAATTTACTGATAACTGTTCATATGACATAACTATGGTACCGTTTATTTTCTACCTGTAAAAAGAAAATAGTTTTTTTCTCTAAAGCAAATTAAAATTTTCTTTCTTTTTGTTTTCCTTATCTACACTAAGCCTACTACCGTGCTAGAAGTCAACTTTTTATTTCCTGCAGTTGACGAGATACAATTCTCTTATTTTCGGTCTTGGGCGCCGTCTACTGAGAAAAAAAAGATTTTTTCCAATATATCTAGTCTATCGTGAGGTATTATTCTTTTTTCATTTTGTAGACCACATCTTTCTCTGCAATCCCAGATTATTTGATTTTCGAGACAGAGGTAAAATTCCAATTAGAAAAAAGCTACTATTTGCTCTGTTATGTACTTTGAAATTTTTGTCCGATGAAATTTCAGAGTGTAGCGTAGCGATAAAGGAAAAACTGGGAATTATTCTCAATAAGTAGAATCCATATAGCTTCGAGTGTGTAACAAACTGATAAGAAAAATAATTTGAATAGTATTTATTTGTATAGAAATTGTTTAGATTTTCTTCTTCTTTTTTTTCCCGACAAAATGATCAGTGAAGATTTTCGATTTCTTCATTAATAATACTCTGATCAAGGTCAAACTTTGATCTTTTTTAAATTTCATGCGATTTAATATGTGGTAAAAAATGAACCTGAGATACTGTATCGTCGTAGAGAAATTTCAAAAATACGCGAAAATATCCTGTAAGATTTTTAAGAATGAAATGTCCGGTAAGATTTTTAAATGGTTGTTTGCAATGAAAATAAAAACGAAATTTGACTTGTTATACTCCATTCGATCCATCTGAGTGTACACTATTGTACACTGTTCAACCGTGAAGTTTAACAGTGCTAGTTCTGTAAGTACGAGTAAGGATTTTCGCAACTCACCTTTCGGTCAGAAATGTTCGTATTCAGCATTTTCAGAAGGAAATCCACATGATAAAGTTTTGCATCATCGGATTTGGCCCATCAAGATCCAGCGATTTTTGTAAATACTTATCATTCTTTTGAAGTATAATTCAGATTATTCGGAATCACCTTGGATATTCAGATACATTACATAAAGTTATATATACATTCTTTTCTCTTGAACCAACTCATAGCTCGAAAACTACAAGTGCGAATATTTAGATTTTTCTTCATGGGCAGATAACCCAAAGTATTCTATTCAAAAAGGGAGACAAGCGAGGCCTTAATTTTCAGAGATTCGCGCGTGGTATCCGGTTTCGTTACAGCGTGAGGACTGGCACTCAGTAACTTCATGTAATCTTGAAATTGGGTTGAAAACTTCAGAATATGGTTGGTTTTGTCCGTTTAATATGTCTATACGATCGGAAAAAAGCATGTTTCTGATCAAAGATTTTCTGCAGAAACTTTCGAAAAACCATAGGACTTTGTAAATTAGCTTTTGTTGAGATCTTAGCATATAGAATAGCGTAAACGGGGTACACCATGGAGTTTTCAAACCGTTCTGACCTTTTTAGACTGAATAGTGAGTTTTTTAATATTAAGTGAAAACAGTCTGGAAACCCCAATTTTGATAAAACTCATTTTTGAATTCCTTTCCCAAAACAAACATTACCGGCAGATCCAGCGTGGTCGTTTACCTATGTTTCATCCGACCACCTGAGGCCACTGGGTGCCAGTCCTCATGCTGCACAGAAACCGGATACCACGCCCAAATCTCTGCAAATCAAGATCTTGATTGCTTCCCTTCTTGAAAGGCATACTTTGGCTTATCTGCCCCTGAAGAAAAACCAAAGTATTTTTACTTGAAGTTTTTGAGCTATGAGTTGGTTTCCAAAGATCTTATAGAAAACCTGTTTTAAAAGAATATTTTCGAATTAATCTTTGTTCATAAAATGTGTCACATAGGCTCTTCTTTTCAGTGGTTAATATTCAAACTCTCTACCAACATTTCGTTCTCGCGATATTCATAAAATGGCCAGGAACATTATATTTTGCTTATCGAGTATATCAACGTATTCAAAAATCTATCAGGAGACGTGCTAACGTATACAATGTGGAGATGCAATTGTATTATGTGTACTACATGCTTCTGTGTTGCTTTGATCCAGACCTCTGATTCTCGGTTCTTGTAAAGCACCGGATTTGCGGTTCACGTGTTTTCGGTTCTTCATCGGGAATCAGAACCGCGGTATCTTAGACGGTTCCTTTTCCCGAAATCGAGACCTTTTGACTTGCCTTTTTTTAACAAAATGAAAACACACTATTCACAAAGCTACAAAAAAATATATTTGCCTGTCATCGTTTAAAAGAATCCTTTCGTTTACTATGAAATGAATTCCATTTCGTTGAACTCTTACAGGCTGAAAGATTATTTTCCAGCTCTAAGCCGAGAACCGTGGTTTCTTTTGTTCCGGTTCAGCATCAGAAATCGAAACCAGAACCGAGAATCGAACATCCCTACTGAAAGGAAGGATTGTAGGGTGTATACTAACCGCGGGGATTTGAAAGAATACATAAGAAGCAGACTTGATATGCACAGACTAAAGGCATTAAATTAAATTAAATCCTAACGTCTGCTTCAACCGAGAGTCCGATGAGCCTGGATGTGAAGAAGAATACTCAAGATAATAAGCAGGAGTCATAATCACTTATCAACACTGTATTTACCTACAGCATCAAGAAAAAACATGGTTTATCAGTAAATATCATTATTTATTACCTTTGAAATAGTTTCATATTACCTTGATGAAACACAAAAGAGAATAACGTAATTTATAAGCGTTGTAAAGATACCTAACAAAGTTTTATACACATGACAAGAATGTAAGTCACATACAGAAAAAAAGAAAGTGGAACAGTTCCATTGCTTTCTCTTCATGTGTCAGTTTTCTATTCTTTTTTTCCTACCGATATTCTTCAGACTTATACCACATGACGGTTTTCTTTTCCTTTTCTTCCCACGGTCAAAAAGCTCCAAAGTGTTTTCGCACCAAAGTAACCGTCTAGTCAGATAGAGGGGAACATCATTCTACGGGCTGACTTCAGATATGCCACTGGAGTCATTGATTTAAAGTAGGAAAGATTAAAACTTTGCAAAAAGCCACCAGATTTTTCTAAGTCTATAGCTCGATTTAGATCAAAAGCGCATGATCTATGAGTGAACTCGATGTGAGAGAATACATATATAGAGTTTGAAGAATTTACGAAAGCCGGAGAAGGAGGAAAAACTCATTGTACTGAAACGCTTTTAATTTCAGGAAAAAATTCACTAAGCCCAAATCTTTTTTTCCAAAAGTTTTGCATCAGACTTTATAAGCTTTTCGGCAGCATGACCAATCAGGTCTCTTGTTCATTGTTTAAAGTTGTTGAAGTTGTCATTAACAGATGCTTTCAACTTTGTTCGCTCCTGGCATCTAATATTCAAATAGATGAAAAATATACCGTTCGAAGGGCTTGAAATGCTGATGCTAATTCTATCGCACTATTTCAGATTGATTTGAACTCTAATCTTTATGTAGGTTACTCCTTCGGTTTTGCGAAAAATTATGTCTTCTATAAAATGTATTTCGAACTTTTCTTTCGCATGTTAAGTGGGCTGATGAAAGTGTCAGCTCTTAGCCATATTTCCTTATCGACCGATACAGTGGAACATTTTTGTCAGGATTGAAATTTTTGACCACGCCTCTGACACCGCGCGATTGTTTGAAGCAGTGTCGTAGTTATAGGAAAGCCAGCACAGAGTCATAGTCTCCCCTTAAGAAAAGTATTTCATCCAACTCTGATCGAAAAAATTTTCTACTGATACTTTTTTTCCCATGTCTAACAATGTCAGTCACGAAAATATTTGAGCTCTTAACTTGCTGTTTTAACTGAGATATACAAAATTTAGTGTTAGTGATCGCTCTCCTCGTCGAAGCGTAAAGACTCCGTGACTTTTAAAGGAAGCAACATGGGCCCAAATCCGTTTAGGCTTTTTCCTAAGGTAATAGACCCCTACATATCGGCAAAATGTAGTTGAAAATGAATTTAATCACGGAGGTTGGTTTTCCTGTCAAAAGTTCGTGGCTCCGTAGCTTTTGACTACGCTCCTGCATGTTTTCACATTCTTATATTCTTTGTATCACACTACCCCCTCACTTCACTGTCCTAAACTGTCTGTGACCTATGTAATTGTCTACTTGTTCATTGTGAATTTTGACATCACTCTATTCAAAAGCTCCATCCAGCTCTTTTGCTCTATTATTAATAATAATACTATCTATTTTTATTAGTTTGTTGTGTGCTGTGTTTTATTGTGACGTATGTTTTTTTTTTTTTCTTCTTTAAATATACTTCGTAAAATTATTAGAATTCTAGCGTGATGTAAGTCTTATTTTTCTTTTTCTGTGTGCCACATATACATATCCAAATGTAACATTAGGAGACATTCGATATATCTATCCTTATCTATCCTTATCTATTCTCTTTATCTATATGTGTCATATATACACGAGGAGAGCAATGTTTCTCTTGTTGCAGTGTAAACGTATATGAGTAAAGTGCAACTTTTTTGTATCATTGATGAGAAAAAATGAAAGTGATTATACAAAAAATCTAAGTAATAGATCTTGTTCTCCATCATTTACTGAGTCTACACTGAAAGTTTCCGAACCATCGGACAAATGCCAGCTGAAATATCGAATTTGAAAGTTTCGTGCGTATAAGCTGAAACTCTTGAAAAAT